TTCCAAAGTGAAATGCTCCAGCATGAAGAAAAGGGCTAGATAGATTCACTTCAGGTACTGTTAATTCCTCTTCTGTTGGAAGATAAACATCAGTAGTGACAACCATTTTGTAAAGCTACCTAGATGATTTGTGATTGTTAAAATCCAAGAAAAAGACTTAAAATAAATTTGAACGACCAATTTATTAACATTAAGTGACATGACAGCTCTTCCGAAGTCAAAAAGTGGCATTTCAAGCTGTCAAATTGCATTAGTGTTACCAGATATCAACATCAACTATTTGAAAGGATTGCATTGGAGGCATTGGATTAGATAAAAAAAACTATTTCGTAAAAAAAGTAATATGATTAAAACTATATGCACTTACTATCAATTTGCTGACATTAACCTCTTCAGAAAATCCGATTTGCAAATTTTGGTACCAAAATTTGCTGACATTAACCTCTGACATTAACCTTGAAATATCAATTTGCTGACATTAACCTCTTCAGAAAATCCGATTTGCAAATTTTGGTACCAAAATTGAAAATAGTTTCTCCACAATTTTTTTTGTAAATTTTGATTTAACTTTGTACGATATAAATGTTTATGGTCGTAACGAACATCCTAAAATATTATAGACCTACGAAAAATAGTTCAAAGTAATTATAAAATAAAAGAATCTCGCAGTTTGAAATAATAGGCTGTTGCTAAATTTAATTTCTGATTAAGAAGCGATTGTATGCATATATAGTAAAGTTTCTACAATTAAGGCAAAATCAACTGATATTTAATTTCAAACATTAAAGCATCAATTGAAAACTTGAAATTCAAAATATATTATTATATATATTAGAATATGTCGACATAATCATTCTTCTTCTTCCTCCTCTTCTTCCTCCTCCTCTTCCTCTTCCTCCTCCTCTTCTTCATCGTCTTCCTCTTCCTCGGCTTCTTCCGCCCCTCCTTCTCCAGCCTCGCCAGCTATTTCCTTTAGCTCTACAGGCTTAGGCAAGTGAGCAATCCTCCATGCCTACGATTTTTCATTAAAAAAGTTTAATGCTAAAGTTTAGCTTCAGTCATCTTGATATGATAAGAAAGCTTTGGATAATTAATATGAATTTTGGTTTAATTTTATAGATAATTAAAATATTCACCTCTTCTTCAGCAAATGTTGGATCCGTCATTTCCATAATTTCTGGTCCAATTGGATATTCCTGTTGAATATCGGGCATACCTTCTGGAGAATGATTATGCGCATTGTACTTTTGACCCCAACCAATATATATAGTTGCACATATTCTACAAAATAAATTAGAACAATGACTTATCTATAAATATAAATAAATTAATGAAAATAATAATAAATTATCATTATTACTTTCCAGCAGACAGGCGTATGCACCAGGCCACAAAGACGAGCGAACTATTGCAACGGCTGTATCTGGTATGCAAAGAGAACTGCTTCGAACGGTCCACGCAGGCATTGATTCCAGTGAAGCATCTTCAGATAACGGCGTAAGCAATGGTGTGGACCGACTTCCTTTCTCGACACGATCGATGTTGGCATCAGCTTCTTCGTCCTCTCCAGCCATTTCTTCTATAATCACCTTAATTATTGTCAAATTTCTTCACAAAAAGTAGATACACTTACCGCTTCCGGCATATTTGGATTCCACCAAACCGTACGGCCTTGTTCAGAATATTCGGCGCATGATGGTTCCAAAATGTCATAGTCGTATCACAAAGATCCCTCATAGGCGGAGGCTCGTACCGAGGATTGACACTGATACTGTTTGGTCACCTGTAAATGTTAAAATTAGATAGTAAATGAGAATTTTGCCGTAATTAAGATACTGTGAATTCAGTATATCGTACCTTCCTCCTCTTCTCCTACTTCTTCTTCTTCTTCTTCACCACCGCCTCCACCAGCACCACCAAAAGTGTAATATCCGATCGGCGATACTTGTGTTCCAGATGATATACGAGCGATGGTCGCGCGCAAATAGTCAATTTCGCGACCCGGAAACGGAGGATATGTGTGAAGCTTTATATGAAAAAGTACAAATTATTAGGCTTGCAACGAATAGTATATTCGGCAAAATGCCGAATACCAAATATTCGGCATGCTCCAAAAACCGATTACCAAATATTCGGCATGCTCCAAAGACCGATTACCGAATATTCGCCAACTACTCGGCAGGTTTTTGGCTCTAAGCTCGTTTGTATTAATGTAATTACTATCAGTAATTGTTATATTACTAACGCGCTACATGTTTATTCAAATTTTATGCCTAGACTTTCAACCACTATTCGGCTACTCTTTGTTATTTGGAATATTTGGCACCAATTATACTATTCGGCCGAATACCGAATACTTGAATACCACATGTCATAGGAAAATAAATTGTAAAATCATGAAAAAAGAAGCGATTCTTTACATATATGTCAATGTATTTCCAATTATTCCTTTCATAAACTTTTAATATTTTCTTTTATAAATTCAATATTGTTACTTATATATAAGGAATACTAATCATAACAAAATAAATAAAAAATGACCAAAAATATTGTTTGTATATGTAAAGAACCAATAATAATTATTTGTCTGGAAATGCTTAGATTGAATATAATAAATGTCTTTATTGAACACACATTGAATGATTCATATTAAATATAATCTAATAAGTATCTTGTGAATATTCAGAAAAAAGTTCTTCACGTGTTCATTGATAATCCCAAAAGTCGATACCGTTTAAATTATTATGTATATATAACAACAAAATCATTTCTATTACTACATTAATATTCGGTGCAAGCTTACAAATTATACTTAAAGTATAAAACGTGCATAAAGTATGAACCAATATAAGGTATATTTTTGTACAACAGCACAGTTTAAAATATAAACCTATTGGCCTATTGAATTCTGTTCCAAGACTTACAAAATTAAGGTCGAGTAAAAAAGGAATGTCTAGAATTCCCTAAGGTAAATTATATTTTTTCTCAGGGTCATTCTGAATAATCTGAAAAGTTCCTGTCGACGTTTTCTCAAAATCGCCCGAGCTTAAGAAGTATTTCATTAAATTTAATAAAGACATGCGTTGATTAATGAGTTTGTCAGTTTTGCGCGACGTTCGGCTTAGCCTTTTCTTTATAATTAGCAGATAAATGCAAAATATTTTTTGCATTTTATCAACGTTTTTGACAAAATTTCTGAGTAAAGATCAGCTGGACCGCTTCGTCGCAATACATTGTTGACAAAGATAACGATTTTATTTAAATTTTAATTGATGACAAAATTCATTGTCATCATTGGTGACAAATTCTCAAATATGTATATTAATAATAATATAAATAAATTAATAATAATAATTATAATTTGAATAAACTCCAGAAGTTTAAAACATTATACTGATTATAAGGACTTACAGCAGCTCGTATCATTTTGCTTATAATAAATAACTCATATAATTAATATAATATTAGGTCAGTTACTTATTTTCATATAACATGAAATTTCTAGGTGTGAGGTATATTCAAATAATTAAAAAAAAATCTAATATACCTCTGTGTCCAGATCTCCCGTCATATAACGGGTAATTTTACGAGCCACATTGATCTGCTCCGGCGTCACTTCAGGTAATCTAATCCATTCTTGGGTCAAATCAGTAGTAATATAATACACCTAACAATATATGATGTAATTGTGAACCGCAGAAGAATTTGATAACAATATAAACAGGTACAAAGTTAATAACGGAATAATAGAACTTAACACTTAAAAGATACGGATCAAAAATATCTCGGACAATAAATTATTATTAAACTAGAATTTTGAATTTGGAATTCAGCACCTGGTTATATTTTAGCAAAAATTTTATTTTAACACATTGTTTGATTATTTTATAAATGGTTGTTGTTAGTTGGCGAAACATTTTCATATTTTGCCCAGAAGAATTTGGTTTAATACTACTTTTTATATATTCACTTATTATTACCTTCGCGTTGACTCCTTGTCCTGGTTGTTCCACTGGTATCTCTACTGGTGGTTTATATTGGCTAACCGGAAGAGGTGGGAGCGGAGGTCGTGGTTTTTTAACGGGAGCGCCTTCACCAAGAATTGGTTCCGGTTCTCTTGGCGGATATAAATCGGGATCAGCTGGTTCTGTCGGTTCCGCTTGACCCAAAGCTTCAGCTTGAGCGGCTTCTAAAGCTTTAAACTCTTCCTCTTGTCTAGCTGCTTTCTCAGCTTCTATTTCCTACGAAAATATATTCATATTATAATATTTTCTACTAGTAAAAAGTTGTGAAAACGACAGATTATTGTAAGATTGAAGAAAGACAATCCTGAATATCTATTGCTTAAGCACAATAATGTTGAGACTAATGGATGTTTTTATACTTACAATGACAATAAAAAAAATTCTACTAACTTACTTCAATTCTTTTAGCATATTCCTCTTCATGCCATTCACATTCGGCAACATAGTAATTTTTATGTATTCCAAATATCTTACCCCAAAAACTGCAAAAAATGTTATGAAATAACATATCAGGTATTTATGATTTTAGAGGCAAATAAATAATTTTGTATCATTTTTTTATCATCTATTTATTGGAATTACTCTCACTTAATTGTGGAAATTGCGGGATTTTTTGCTAGTTTACGAATAGATAGTTCTATGCAGAATAATTCAGTTCTTGGCAACCCAATGCCTGCACGCTCCCAGTGATAACCAATAGTCATCAGATCCGGAACTTCTGCAGGCATGTTATCCGGATCCAATGCTGGCTCATCATTTTCTCCAGGCAAAGGTGCAGGCTATTTAAAATATATTTAAAATTTATGTAAATAAGAATTACATTTATCTTTAAATGCTTTTTATACTGACCTGAAGAAAAGGCAATAGTTTTCTAGCTTCTTCATATTGTTGAGGTGGTATGAAAGCATCTTGAAGCATATCACCAGGATTGTAACGCTGCTCTCGCACATTGCGCGAATATTCTTCAAAAAAGTCTACTATATTTTCTGGTTGTTCAGATATTATTTTATTCAGCACTTCGGATAAATGATCGTATCTATATAAGTAACATTTTTAAATTAAAATTTATAGATTGAATTTATAGATATACAATCTTTACTCACACATTGTCTCCGGTTTCTGAACTATGTTTTTGTAAGAACATCTTAGCGCTGACCATGTCATGCTCCACCTTTGGCATCCGGGTCTCAGCATTATGAATTATTTCATCTTCCAAATTAAAATCCATGATTATCTAAAATGTATAGTTAGAAATATTAGTGTATAACATAATGCCATATTTCTAATATTATATATTATACTGACCTGATTTTAATTAACATTGATGTTTTGCATAACTTGATTGAATAAAACAAAGTGATCACAGTTATTCATTTATTATCATTTTTTAAATACAAAACATTTATATTTTATATACATTTGACATCTACAGTTATGAAATTTACAAAACATTGTTTTTAAAATATATAAAACTGATTATAAATATATTTCTAGCTTTGGCAAAATATTAAATAATAAAATACTTGCTAAATAAATGAATCTTTTAAAAAATATATCATCTATTACTGTGCTAATATTCATGGCTTATATTATTATATTATTAGTATATTAGTATAAAAATAACGCAAACACATTATATAAAATTGCAAATTTGTGATTGATATTATGCTTACAAATTAGATATTAAAATTAATTGGTTATCTAAGAAACCTTAAATAAACAAGACCAGAAAGTATAGCAGTTTCCAAGACAATAAGCAAAACCAATATAAGTTTATTCGTTAAAACATTCTTCTTAATTGAATTTAATGCCCTTTGTGTTTTTGAAAGTTCTTCATCTGTACGAACAAGTCTATTTTTACTGCGCAGAAGAGATTCTCTTTGCTCTCCTAGCTCAGTTATTATCTGAAAAATTAAATTACCATAAAAGATTGATATGTATAATGTTAAGACAAGGCCTTGTTGACAATATTTATCATGTGAAACTTAATACAATATTGTATCAGTTTGCAAATAAATAAATTGCAAAGAAAAAGGTGATGTATTGATGATACGATTTCAATTTCATATGTATCGAGATCTCATGAGAGAGTCCTTAATTATAATTTCTTACTGTCGTTCCAACTTCTTCAGTTTCTATAGCTATTTGATGAGACCTAGCGAGACTATCTGAAGTCCTTTCCAAGGCAGATACTCCTTCAAGAACTGTCCTCCTGTTTACATTATCCCAATCATAGTCAAAATTACTATTCATGATTGAGAAGCTTAAAAATTATTTTAGATAAAAAGTAATTCCTGAGAAATCTGTAGTCAGTAATGTTTCATTTTGAATTTATGAAAAATGTTGAATTTATAAATCATTAACTAAGAGTCATGATAAATATATGATATATTAATATAATAAATATTTTAAGCTTAATTTATTTGAGAGACACCCATATAAGTAACAAGTACTAAATATAAAAAGTGTATATGACATTTTAGTAGACAAAAACAATAGTGTGAGGGCTAGTAAGTCGAGGTCGAGGTCGAAGTTTTCCATTATTATTTCTTTAAGCTTTAATTAATAATGAATTTAAACATAAATGATACTAAATTTATTATACTAAAAAGTAACTGGTGGTGTGTGGCATCGTGTCCTAAAGCAAATTGCTGGAACTTTCCGTACCTTAATGAAATATTCGAGGAATATTAAATGTTTTCAAATAGATTATTATAAATAATGTAACTTTTATTATTCTTATTTATAAAAAGTAAATAAATGAAACTTAATCAATCGGATTTAAAATGAAAAACATTGCCTAATATTTATCACAATTAAAATTAAAATCCAAATTATTTTTAGACATCAATTTTTTTTTTTTGAAAATTAAAAAAAAATTAAAAAAAAGATAAAATAATTTCTTTTTCCAAAAGCAATTGTTCCCTCAACACAAGCAGAAAGTTTTTTAAATCATTCAAGTCGGATGCTTAGTTCCCTCATTAACTGCAATTTTTGCACATTTAGCTCTAAATCTCCGAAACGACTGAACCTGCCTCTGCCAAAATCTAATCACCACTCCCCCGATCATTACGAATCGAACGTATATTGAATCATTCAAATCGGTTAATCCGTTCTCTTGAAAACGGCACTTTTTGCATCATATCTCCGAAGCCGCTGAACCTGTCTTTGTCAAAAACTAATCAGCACGCCTGCTCATCATTAGGAATCGAATGTACACCCAAAATCGACGAAAATTTGTCTCCACACATACACACATCCATTTTATCTGATTATGAGGTATTCCAAAATGTTCAGAAACCTTTAAATGCAAAAATTTTCATTTTCGATTTCTGTCCATTACTATAACTTACTCTAAGGGAAGTTAATACTACTAATTTATTAAACTAAAAAGTAATAATGACCCTATATTTTGACTTTCTGTCCTTACAGTCCAATAAGTGTAGGAATCGTAATGAATTGTAATATAATATTAAATGCAGGGACGCGCTTTTCTATTTTGTGAGTAAAAAATTTAAATAGTGAAATCGAATTGATTGAAGTGAATTATTTATACATATCGGGAAGTTCATGGACTAGTCTCAAGACAAAATTTAACTTACAACTAGTTTACATTCAATATTTCGCTGTTATTCTATTATTTGTATATTATTATTTTTATTCCACTTTATTGTTTTTCTAGTATTATTTTTATTATTCACAAATTTTATTTATTTTATTTATTAATTTTATTATTTTTAATATTTGCTTTTATTATATATTAAATCATAATACGGATATAATTTTAATGAAAATAGATTTTGAAACATAAATTTAAGACACATTGAACAATTCTCTAATTTAAAATTGTTCGGCATTAAATTCAAACTAATCTGCATCAAATAGGTGACTTATCGAGGAATAATTACCACCTTTAATTTCTTTTGTATGTTCCAGTCTAGCTATTTCTCAAACGATACTACCCCTCATTTTATACTCTATTTCATTTATATTTATGTTATCGTTCATTAATATTACTAGATGTTATTTTATTTAGCAGTCGTAATAAATATTGTAATTAGAAAAAAAAACTTATTTGTTCATAAACCTATCAATACTAATGGAATGAAACATTTTTGTGACTTGATCCTGCACTAAATGATTCTAAAATTTTTGCATCAGGCAATAATATATTTTGACGTTTCTTAATTTTTTGGTTAATTACATATATTACATCTAAAAATAATTATCTTAGTTAAAAAAATAATATTTATGAACAAATAAACCGAAAATAATTAAATTAAGAATAATGTTTGCCTCTGTTTTAAGTTCCTTTCGAAAGTAAGCATATTAATAACAAAAATTTTTATTTATTACTATTCATGTGGAAGGAAATCAATGAATTCATATTCATTTTTTTATAACTGTTAATTTTACTATTTTATATATTAAGAGATAAATATACTACGATGATTTTTGAAACATAAATATAAGATACATTAAACAACTGTGTAATTTTAAAATGTTCGGCATTAAATAATTACCTTCTTCAATTTCTATTGTATTTTACAGTCTAGCTATTTCTCAAACGAGGCTCATTTCTATATATTCACCTGCTTGCATACAAGCATCACCATGTCTATATGCCGAACCACTGAAGAAAAAGAAGCGTATGGATCCACAAATTGTAAGACAACGTGAAGAAAGAAGAAGAAAAAAATTAGAGAAACAAATACGGCGACTTGAAAAAAATGCACGTCAATTGAAACCAATTGATGAGTTGGATGTACCACTAGTGTTAATTGATCAAAATAAGTAAGCAGTTTTAATTTCACAATATCACACATAATTAATATTTGTACTTGCTTTATTACCACAAACTAAATGCATGAGATCAATTCTTTTTTTTTTTAGACAAAGAACGAGACCTGTAGTAAAACACACAGAAGAAGAATTAGAAAGAAGAGCTATGTTACAAAAAGAGTGGACCCAAGCTCGAACTCGTACATACTTAGCAGATTACCAAATGATCGATAGAATATTAGCATCACAACGAAAAGCCCTGGATGAATTACGCAAGGAAAGTGAAGAATTGTACTTAGAAGCTGTTCAGATCGATCAAGAGTTATTACCGTTTACTACCACAGGACCCACAATAACACCCCCAATTAAAAATTATGAAAGCCCAGATGGGGAATATATAGATATATCAAAAAAATGGGATTGATTAACTAAATTATTAAAATTTTAATAATACATATATATTATATAAATGTTAGTTTTATTTAAAAAAAAAATCTATTTACATGAATAAGTGTAAAAAAATCGAAAATAGTCAATTTTTTTCAAAAATTTAAAAGATTAAAAAAAAATTTTAACTTTTTTAAAAAAAAAACTTTTGGTACGAGAAGTTCCAGCAAAGCCTTAAGGCACGATGCCATGTACCACTTGTTTGTTAATACGTTTGAGTTCTATTTTGTGATAAATAATTTTGAAAAAGATTTTTTAAATTCAAAAGTTTTCGTATTGTTTTGTTGGTTAAGAAAAGTTCCCGCCAAATTTGAAGGTTATGAAAGGATTTGTTTGACAACCAAAATACTTACAAATACGTTTGATAACAAAAAAATGAATTTTACACATTGTCTTAAGAATAAACTGCCAGTAAAATCTTAGCGAAACCATGTAATTTTTAATTGATATTGCTTTTTAATATATATTAAATTTTTTCTTAATATATATTAATTTTTTTTTTAATAACAAATAAAAATGGATGAAGATGAATTAAAAATATTTGAAGACTTACAAAAATCAGCAGAATGTCTAGTTTGGTAAACTTTCACATCAATAAAAATACAATTAAAATAATGAATAATAATAATCAGCATATATTTAACATTTTAGTAACAAAATATCAACAAGTCTGCTGATCAGTCGCTGTGAACATATATTTTGTGAGAGTTGTGTAAGTACACTACTGAAAAGGCGAATTGTTAGATGCCCCAAATGCAAAAAGAATTTGAGTAAAAGGATGTTCAGTAAAAATGAAGCTATTTCAGGTTTAATTTCAATTCTACTCGCTTACAAAAGTAATTCCAATGAAAATAGTGAACATGCCAGAGGTAACATAATTTTTATCAAATAATCATTTATTCTATTTTTTTTTTATTTTATTGTTTCTTCTTTTATTATTAGAAACAGAAAATGAACCTGGTACCGAATCGAATTTGGTAGTTAGCAACCAAGACATTGAAAAATATATGAATGAAAAAATTAAAAGTTGCCAAATAGTTGTAGATGATGATCAGTCTGATATTAATAAAAACAGTAATATAAATTATGACCAAAACTCTCAAGATTTCATAGATGATTTTATTTCTATAAGTCAAATACCTAATGTTCCTCCTCCAAAAAGAGATGTATCACCTCTTAGACTGCCAAGAAATAAAATTAAAACACAAGACAAAGTTACCTCTTGGTTGAATTATCATGGAACTGATTTTCTTGAAGCTGATCCATCAATATCAACGCCTTCAAATTTTATGGAAGATGAAATCCCTGATAAGGCTGCTGTACCAACGTTTACTGATGCTAAACAGTATCAAGGGCCAAAAAGCAAAGGTAATGCTAAAAAAACCGGTGGATTGTCAAAGGAATCCAAAAATAAGGAAGATGGAAATTTGAGTAAAATAGATATGGAATGTGCTGTTGAATTAAAAGATTGTTTCGAGAACAAACACAATGATGTACCTAATAAAAGAGGTGTGACAAGACGTAGTTTAACCAGAAATAAAATAAAACAGACAAATGAAAAAATAGTATCTGATTCAAATGTAAATCATGAAAAATCAGTTGACATGGAAGTTGATGAATTAAATGTTGATAAAGGTCCTATTATCAAACAAAATGATGATAATTTGAAATTAAGTAACAGAAAATATAGCAATGAAATCAATATTGATAATTCAAGGACCAATATTGTTGAAGAAAATGTGAGTAGCACAAAAGACAACTCTCTCGACAATCTGCAGGTAAAAACATCTGTTAAAAACAGTGTTATTTCAAAAATAAGTACAAATGTTGACCAATCTAAAGATAACGAGGTTTTAAGTGGCAATCTTTTTTCAAGTGCTGAAACATCTACATTTAAATTTAAAGTATCAAGAACTACACAAGTAATTAAATCAGATACAAAAAAAGGTAGCATTAGTAAAGAGCGGAAAACATTTTCTTTAGAAGCAAATACAGAAGATTTACAAAATATTAATGATAACATTACTGTGAATACTGAAGATGCTTTGACATTAATTTTCAATCAATGCAATAGAAGACCCAATAAATTGGGAATTGAAAAAACTGCTCTATTAAATAGTAAGGAAAATATTGTTTGCAGGTTTGTTAAACCACTTAATCTATTACCAAGGAGTTTTAGAAGAAGTCTAATTTCAAATCCAGAACCAGTTTTATTTTTTCTTAAGGGTTCGTTGGATGCACCAAAGATAGTACATAAAGATGTAGGTATGCAATGTACACTTATCAAGAACAATAAAGAAACAATTTTAAAACAAACAGCAAATGTTCAAACACAAACAGAAGAAATTCAACTTAATTTTAATAATGCATCATCTTGTAATAAAAATGCCACAGAAAATAATTTACACAAGACAGGTTTAGTTAAGGAAATTAATGTATATAAAGATATTAGAAATGAATCTCAAGAACATAATAAAATAGAATATATAGGCAATGACTTAATGTCCAATACATACACAAAGAAATGTAATTCATCACTAAGCGAGAATGCAGAAGACACAGAAGATATTCTTGAAGTAACAAATGACATACATAAAAGATTTAATCAGAAAAGTAAAGAGAAATCATTATCACCAAGTTATGATTTACCAGACGACACCCTTGTAGCTGAAACAAGCAAACCTGAAATATTATTAGAAAGTGATCAAATTGAAAATGTCATGGGAATTTTGAAAGAAAAATATTCATGCCATGATGATGAATTTGAAGAAACTACAATGAAAAATCAAGGAGACACTTCTAAGTCATCTAAAAGAAAACGTGAAGAAAAAGAAATTGATGAAAGGGAAATCAATATTCCAGCAAGTGGAGGAAACACATCCTTTTCTTCTGATTCTGATATACAATCATGTTTACGGCCTGTTAAATCAGTACAACTACCTGACATGTCCGATGACGAAATGGTAATGGATGAAAATATGACGGTTAAGTTTATTTCTATGCAGGATTCAGAGAATGATGACACAAATATCATAAAAAAACGTAAAGTGCAACAATTGATTTCTAGTGGAAGTTCATCAATGAAGGAGAATAAACATAACAATCCACTTGAAGAAGACAGTGAGCCAATGGATTATGATGATATACTATCGACAGTATTTGCCAATATTGATGCTGAATTAAATACTGGTTCTAAAGAAGGTCAAGACGAAGATCTAGAAACAAGAAAAGAAAATCCACAGTCTAAAGTTAAGCCTAATACTCTTAACAAGGAGTATAGTTCTAATAGAAGTCCTATGAAGCAGATTTTAAGTAAAAACATACAAAAGCCTGCTATTTTGTGTTCATCGACTCCTAAAATTAATAGTAAATCTAACAATAGTGCAGAAAGAAGGTCTTTAGAAATCTCCATAAATACTCTTGATAAAACCGCTGATCTTGATAAAATAGTAAGTGCTATAGAATGCAATTATATGCAGAAAGAATTGGACACTCAGAACCAAACCGATATTCTGAGCGAATTACAAAGGAATATGTGCAGAAGTGAAACAGAAAATGAGGGATCACAGATACCGCAATCACTTTTCAGGTATTTATATATTTGAAATGCATGTCCAGGAAAATCAATAAATGCTATTTTTTTTTTTTTTTTTAAATTAAATAAGTTTCTTTCACAGATCTTCATTAGTAAAACAAGGGCCTTATTCAAAATCAAGAAGGTCATTAATTTACCAAGACATCAAACAAAACAAATCCCCTCAAATTATGTTCAAATCTCCAAAAGATACATTGAATGAAACCATTAGCACTATAGTGGACTATCCAAAAGAAAACACTGAACCATTTATATCATCATTGAATAAAACTAATACTGAACCAGTTGAGATGGAAATTTCATCTTCTTTAGAAAATCATCAAAATCGAGCTTTAATGCAGCATACATTTGATGTTAGAGAGAAAAATGTAGAAATAGTTGAAAATACTGAAATATCTGAGACAAGGTTAGAACCAGAAATAGACTTTGTGCCAAGTTCCATGGAGACCAAACCAATTTGCTTAGCTTGTAGTTGCTTGTTGCAAGATGATATAATCTTAGTGAAAAATTTTGCTGATCGATTCAATCTAAAATTTGTCATGCAATATGAGGACTCAGTCACGCACCTTATTGTAAGAGTGAATAAAGAAAATTGTGCTGAAAGGTAATTATTTGATTACTTATTTTAGGTAGATCTGCGAATCTATATATACATATTTTTATTTTAAGGTCACTAAAATTCATAAATGCTATGGTATCTGGAATATGGGTTCTAAATAAGAACTGGATAAGCGATAGTTTAGCAAAAAAAGAACTTCTTCCAGAATACAAGTACGAAGTATTGGATATTTCATTAGAACCTGGACCAAAAAGAAATCGAATTTCATTACCAAAATCATTGTTCATAAATATTAAAGTTTTTGTGATTGGACCTTTTCATAGCACAAGTGTAGACGAGTTCAAATTGTTATTGAGAAATACTGGAGTTATGATTCAAAACAGTCATATTAGTGCGCAAATTGTTGTAATGGATGATGGAGAGCATACTAAAGAAGAAATTGAAGGTATTCTACATCATATTTACATTAGATTTGTAATAATTAAATGTTTAAAATCATTAACTAATTTAATTATTACTTGATTTCTAGAAACCTATAAACATTGCACTAAACCTATAGTGGATATGGGATGGTTCCTGGATTGCATTTGTCGTGGCCGTTTAGTGAAAATAACAGAACATTTGCTACTACCTGATATATCAGAAATTAATCTGAAAAACTATCCTTCACAAATATTCCAAGATACAGAACGGCTTTAGTAGTAGTTGATTCAGTGCCATTACTGATATTATGATGAACATGAGAGATATATATGTGAAATATAATGTTATGTCCCAGAAATTTTTTAATATGGTTAATGTTTTTAATATATTTTTATTTAAGAAAAATTGTTATGTATAATTTATAATTATATTTTAAACAAACTGGTATTACTCATCTATATAAATAAAATATATAAAATTTGGAAGAACACTGCATTTGTGATTAGATAAATGAATTAGAATTAGAAAGAAACTGAATCAAATATCAAAATTGCAAAAGATTATTCAACTATAAACTCATAATTTAATTGTTACACTAAATAAGTTATTAATGTTACTTTTAACTGCCTTATTGTTCGAACAGTTAGCATTTTCTAGTTGCTTAAAAGTTCTTCTTAAGGATATCACAACTTCTAATTATAAATAATTATTATTATATATAATTAATTATATATTTATAATTCACTTAAGTGTCATGTGAAATCAAAAAATGTATTTGGTTGTGTAAAAACCTAATTATTATAGTAACAACAAAGAAAATACTGATTTAGAATCTATAGTTTATTTGAACCCGCAGACAAAAAACAAATAATAATAAATAAACAAATGATAAATGGAACAAATTGATTTGTAGTATCACCATAAAATAAAATATAACTAACGCACTTACTAATTTTCAGCTGGCCATCTAAGTAGATTCAATAATTCTAAAATAACTGAAAAACGTCAACTAACTTTAGTAACCACTGTCTTCACAATATATAGCACCTATAACCATTAATTTATTACATTTATGACACTATATCACATGAGAAAATCACTTAAAAGTGATGTTTGTTGCACAAGGCAAATACGAATAATAATAATAAACATTATTGTGTTTATTATTAAGTTTTCCGCCTGCAGTGAAAAGTAAAATCGGAAACGTCAGTTGACAGTGCCGCCAACAAAAAAGAAGTAACAAGTACAAATTAAAAATATTTGAATCACATCGAAGTAAAAACACTCGGAGGCAATCCTAATAAAAAGTGCATCAAGTTATAATTTGTTTATATTTATAATTGAAGTGAATATAATTCAATTGTTGCATTTTTTGCTCCGGTTTGGAATGTTATATTTGAACTATTTCCCTAATGTTCAGTCTATTGTGTAAACGTACGTTTTGGTCCACTAGCTTATTCGGAAACAGCGCTTCAAAATGTCGGAAACCAAATCAAGTATGTATAACCTGCAGAATATAATTTTTTTGTTTTAAACAGAGGTATTCTTTAATAATGCAGGGATTAAGTCCCTAATTCTTTAATAATCCAATAAGGGATTAAGTAAAAATAGTATATAAAGACAAATTCTCTCACCTTCTTTGAAAATCAAGCTCTGCTCAAGAATTTTTAAAATTTTTGAAAATTTTTCCATGCTATTTTCATACAAAACTTTGATTGAATTGCGCACTATCTAAAAGTTAATATTAAGAGCTAAAACTTTCAGAAAATTGTTTTTTATCAATTTGGAACCATTTGAGCCCTGGGGAGCAAGTAAATTCGAAAATGTCCATATTAATTAATAAGGACTACCCTAATATATATATATATATATATATATATATATATATATATTCATGTTTATTCAATATGAAATTCGCTTTCTACAGTTGTATACAACTATTTATTTCATATGTATTGACAGATATGCATACATTGCTAACTATGATAGTTTAATTATTTTTAATAAATTGACTTTTTAGGATATCTTAATAATTTAACAGATATTATTCAGTATATTATAATACTTTTTAGATTTCAGATTTTGGCATTTGTACACAATTCAAATAAAATATTTATTTATATAAATATTACTCTCATTCTTTGATTAAATAAATTAATGGTAGCGTATCAAGAAAGCACTAAATCATAAAACTTACTTTAGAAATATGCATATAAATATTTTCAACAGTACGTATTAATAATTTAATTAAATCACATTTTTAGTGATTTTCATAAACTTATAGCTATTCGTCTATACAGTTATATAATTAAATTCACCTATTCTAATTTTCTAAGATATAATATCAATGCCGCCAACGGTTCATTCATATCAGCATTTTGAGTTTTATTATTTTTAATAATACTAGCTAATGCAAAAACTATATACATAACGAGATTGAAACTAAAAGTTCAAAGAAAGAAAATTTAGCAAAATAGGTTTGAAGCATTCTATTTGATCAGTCGAACAATTGACAAGTTACGCGCATAATATTGTAAAATAGTTTACTCGCAAGTAGAACCTTTGAATTTTAGAATCAAGTTGATTTTTTCTGAGAGCATGTTAACAAATCATTTGAAATATTTTATACTGTACGTTCTTCATTAACAATGTGTTTCATCATTTGTAGTATATATTATTGTAGATAGGTATGCATTGAAAATATTAGCGTTGTAAAAGAGGAATAAAACATGTGTGTAGTGTTGGGTAATGTGTATATTATAAATGTTTAATAGCATGTGTATATGTTGTTACATGTAAAATGTTGACATTTGTGTGTTATATATAGCAAAAATGGAGCCAATAAAGCTCTGAAAATAATTTAAATAAACATGTTAATTATAATAAACCACTATCAATAAACAATAACGTGTTTTGTAAAATATATCACAATATCATCAAAGGGCAGCTTAGATATAATTAATAAATAATTTGTTGAACATAAAAAATATAATTTGAACATTTATGATAAAATGAAAAAAATATTTTTCATTATCAATTCAACTTTCATAAAAACTGCATGATACACGTCAACATTATTTACAAATCCACTAATTAGATAAATATCTTCTCTTACCGTATTTAATTATAACCTAGGCACAATAATATAATTGACGATTGCCTAGCCTAAAGTTATAATCATACAGCATTAGGATAATTTTACACAAGATAATTAAGACCAGTTTATTATAGACAGCACTACATTTAGGCTAATTTAAATTTATTTAAAATATTGCCCTAATTAAACTTGATTTCATGCGGATGCTTTATTACTTTTGTATTAAAAATAATTCATCAATGCTGTAATAGATAGTTCAATTTATCAACGTGAATCAACAAACATTGTTTTTAAATAGCATCCACACTTTTACATCAAATCAAAAAGTTTTTAAAAAACATGTATACTGCTATTATTATATAGTACACTATTGCCTAAAGACCACTAATTATTTTTCATCCTACACAAAGATATGATTTTATTATAAACACCGTTTATCTACAATGCACAACAAGTAATTGTAGAATAAAAATAAACATTGGCAAACGTAAATAATCAGCACTTCTCAAAAATTAATAACATTCTTCGAAAAACTTAAAATAATTTTGCAAAATGTAGCACATTTAAAAATACTTTTGAATTTCATGCTGATCCATAAGATTGCAAGTGCTTTAGTATATAAAAAATGGTATATATCGAAATTTGGATATGGATTTTCAGACTATAAATAGTAATTTGTTTCTTGTAACTGCAAGCTTATGAATCCTAATAAAATATTATCTTATAATAAATTAATGTTTTCATAAACATCTTCTATAACTACTTACTAGAGATATGCAACATTACATTGAAATTCGACTTACATTCTAAATATGTCTTTTACTAAATTGGTTGAAGTCGTATAAAACACAAAATATAATCAATTACCATTCTTTAAAAGAATGTTGAGTTTTCAAAGTCAATTAATTTTGCAATAAAATATAGAAGTAATCAATAACATTTGAATCACATAACTTGTCAATTACATTTAACTTTGCAGTGTTGTACATTATTAATATATAGATGATATTTGTAAACTTTGGACCATTCAATTCAGTGGAATTGCAAAATCATATATATAAACAACTATTAAATTTGTCAAAAAAAATTATTTTGTGCTAAAATACAACTCCACATTTTTTAATACTTACAATTATATTTTATACCAATATGAAAGGTATATAGGTAAAGTCATGCAATGTAAAAAGGAATATTTTTCAAAAGAATATATGGGAAAACTTTTTTCCAAGGTTTCATTTGACATTTTTTTATTAAAATAAATATTGAGTAAGCTATTCTTCATATGTCATGCCTACTGGTCCCAAAGATGGTGTCTACTTGAACGAATCTTCTTTTCACTTGGGACTTAATTGTAAAGAATAGGTTGTACGATTCATTTCATATCTTTAGACTGCATATCGTCTAACCAGCCCGAAGAGATATTGCGAGATGAAGAGAAGCATAATTTCATTGTGAAAGGGAATTTGGTACCTGGAAGGAAATAGTCACAAATTTATTTCAAGAAGCACAGTAAACATGATTTATTAAGAAATATTTAATAATATTTTCTTAATCGGCGTATCGTTTTTCTCAGTCAAAATTAAAGAAATTTATAATGTGTATTATTTGGGGAAGACCATTTATTTATTATAATGGTAATTAATATTACTGCCCTAGATTAGGTCTGTAAACTGAATTAAAATCCAAATCGATTCAAGGAATCATGGTATGAGAGATTTCTCATTGTCATTGCACACCGCAGTGCCCGATATAGTCTATTTTCAAGTGGAAACATATTTTTAACTTCCCGAAGGAGAAGTTTAAATTTTATGTTTTCTCAACGTTTCAAGCCATTCTAAATCGAATGAGACCGAATTTGAAAAAAGTATGTGTGTGTGTGTGTGAACAGATTTTTAAAATTTGTAAATCGACGTTTTCTCCAAAACGGCAGGACCGATTTCAAACATTTAAAAGCCATTCGATGCACCTCAATGAGGACTATTGTTCGTCAGTTTTGTGCGACGATCTGCCGAGCCGTTCTTTGTAATTTGAAAAAAAGTGTTAAACTTTTCGTCCACATTTAAGCTTATACTACCGAATCGATTTAAAAAAATCAAAAACTTTTCGAAAGATATTAGTTGGGAATGATACTGATAGGTTTTAGGTGAAAATCGAACCTAGCCGTTTTCTTGTAATTAACTGTTGAAAAAAAATAAGCCGATTTTTATGGAACTTTTTTTTAGTGATATGTAATATGGTCTTATATAACTTAC